TGGTGGCCTTCATTTTTCGGGCTCTTACGATACTCTTTCCGTTTATTAACATCTCTAAGACTTCCTTTCACTGAAAAACCGTGTATTTCATTGGACGTTTAGTTTAGCTTGCTGAAATCAACTTCACGTCTACTGGGACTAAGTTGTGCAGGGCATGGAACAGAGTGGCTTTGCCTGGGTGATGAATGCGCAGCAGATGAACTCCCCCCTCAGGTCCTGACCCTCGCTATTTCTCACTTCCTTCATGGTGAAGGGGAGCTAAGAAGGAGAGCTAATTTGTAGGGCTGTGATGAACATGGGAGATGACCTGGCACGCGCCAAGCCACGCCCCTAGTAGTCACTTTTATTAGGAACATCCAGGACCCTCAAGGGCTGCCTTTTGAATAAGCAAAACAGTGACCAACTGGGAGAGTCCCAGAGCACAGGCAAAGCCCACTGTTAGGCAAATGAAGCCCCAGCAGGCTGGGATTCCACAGCTGGGGATTCTCCAAGGTGAAAATCCACTTCTGTGATGTTTGAAGCCCCCTCAGAGGGATTGATACCTTGAGAAAACCCTGTCTGGTGTTAGGAGCCAGAAAACTTGGCTTCCACTTCCCTCTCCTGACTCTGTAATTACAGGCACTAAGCTCTAGTCTAGTTTTCTCACAAAAGAAAAGGCTTATAGTGGTTGCTCTGCATGTCCCAGGCTTGTGAGAATCAGATTAGGGAACATGTGAGTCCTTCGTAGATCATGGGATGCTGACCAAATGGATGACATGTCATTATCAATTGTCCACACCTCAGAAGAACTGCTATGAGAATCTTTTCTGGACACAGTTTTTATGGTGAAAGAGGAAAAACAGTGACAATAAGGGGAACTTCTGAGAAGGAGCAAGCAGATGAAGGAAGAGCTCAAGAGAGACAGGATTTGCTCAGGACAAGTAGCCTAACTTTTCATTTTGTAATTAATTAATTATTTTTAATATATCTTTATTTACATTTGACCTGTGTACATCTGTATAGCTTGCAAAATGTTTTTCTGAGCATGAGTAGTGTTTATTAATCCAATCAAAGATATCAAAATATACATTATCATCATCAGATAACTTTCCATTTTCATCTCTTTTAAACTCCTTACCACCCCTTATTATTCACCCTCGGCTATAGCATCTCTGTATCTACAGTATCTATATCTATAGATATGTAGATCTCTGTATCTCTAGTGTCTACACTTGCCCTTGCTGCCTTTATACCTTCCAATTTCAGTTCCAGTCATAGAGTGCAGACATTCGATATATATGAAGTAGGGAAATACAATGCCTCTCTTCCATGGTCTGGCTTGCTTCACTTAGCATTAAATCTTCCATATTTGTCCACTCTGTATCAAATGTCTAACTTTTCACTTTTGTAAGGGTTTTATACTCTTAATCCTAAACAGGCCTCATGATCTTGAATTTCCAGTTTTGGTTTATACTTAAAATTGGTTTATAGGAGCAAACATCAGAGCTGAGAACAGAAATGCTTTCTTTAAAGAGATTTTTGCTACACGTGTGCACTTTCTGGAGAAACAGAGAGAGATAGAGAGAAAATGAGAAATCATGGCATGACCACGCTACAATTCCTTCTTCATTCTCTGGAGATTTTCAGCAGCACACACTGGCACCCAGTGTGAGTTTTAAGCCACCGAGTCCAGGGGCGGTGGGAGTCCAGCAATGGAACGAAATCACTGCACTATCTGCTGGTCCCAGAAACGCTCTTTTTATGGTGACTTGCTTTTCAGCATCTTATTAAGCGGGTTTAACGCATAAAGGATTAATGGCTTGGCTGGGCTAGACTTTCTTCCTTAATTGCCACCAATCTGTGCCTCACTTAGGATAAAAGCAATTCAACTTTTTCTCCCTCTAAGTTCTTCTACCGCTATTGAGATTCAAAATAATACTTTCTTTCCCCTGGGGATACATTAGTCTTTTATTTTAATAGCTAATTGTTTTGTATGTCATCCAGAAAGAACCTGAGACCACTACAAATCTACAAAAGAGAGTCTTTTTTAAATGCCTAAAGATTGTTACTTACAAATGGTACACAGCAGGGCCAGCCATGTGTTTCAGTAGTCCATGGAAACAGAAAACTCCACGGAGCAGTCATTCATATGGTAATCAAATGAAAGGCGCCCCCTTAAGATTCACAGTGTGTAACCTACCCAACTCTGCAAGGCAGCCCAGGTGTTGACAATATATCTAGTTTATTGTATAATAATTCAGCATATTTGACACAGAGAAGATGAAGAAGTGCACATCCCCCAGGGGTATGTGTGTCCTCACTTTCTCCTCCCCTGCTGTTTGCTGACTCCACAGAGCAGCTCCCACCGGATCAGGATCTATGAGCGAGAGGACTACAGAGGTCCAATGGTGGAGCTCACCGAGGACTGCTCGTCCCTTCAGGACCGCTTCCACTTCAGTGAGATCCACTCCCTCAACGTGCTGGAGGGCTCTTGGGTCCTCTATGAGCTGCCCAACTACAGGGGACGGCAGTACCTGCTGAGGCCGGGGGAATACAGGCGGTACCACGACTGGGGGTCCATGAGTTCCAGAGCGGGCTCTTTGAGGAGAGCTGTGGATTTCTACTGAAATGTTTTTACTGTACCCTTTTCTCCATCTGGAAGCTAATAAAATATTTCCTGGTTGTTTCATGCAGTAATGTTGTCCTCTGTTTCTTTCAGGCTTCTTGGAAGAACTCAGCATAAATAGGAATAAGGCAGATTTTCTTATACATAGCAGTGGAAAGTGTGGTATAAGGTAGCAGTTAATAATACAACCTCAAGTGCCCAAAGCCTGGGTCCCAGTTTACTTACTGGCTATAGGAGGAGGGGCAAGGTAGCCTATCTGTGCTTCCATTCCTAATTTGTAAAAATGGGAATAGTAATACACTTCCCCTCATAAAGTGGTGATGTGGATTAAATGAGTTAACGTTTTAAAATCATTGACTGTAGCTTTCTATATAGTAATTTCTAGGAAACTGGACTGTAAGCTTTCTTATGAGACATCTGGTCACCCTTCACTATTCATGTCTTAATATTAGAAATCCCTGTGGGTGATTACATTAAGCAGAATGGCCAAGTGAAACTGCAACAAAAGACAGAATTAGATACACATTTGTAAGATATCTGGGTCTAATATATTGGGACCTAAAAGCATGTCACTGGCTGAAAAGGTGTGTTAATATTTCTATATCCAGAGCACAAATATAGGAACCAAGTGCCATCTTCATAAGCATCTCAGAGAACTCTTCCAAACATAGCTCCCCTTAAAGGAGCTGCAAAAAACTCAGGTAGTACACGCCGGTAAAAACAAGTTCACAGTATGGGAGTAAGAGCAGAAGGTACACCATAATGGGTAAAAAATGCACTAATACAAAGCTTATAAGCCTTTTTGCTGGACAGATCATTGTTCCCAAACTTTGATGGATCTTTATGATATCTGGTTAATGAATTAACATTCAATAATCATAGTACTAAGAAAAAAAAAAACTCATGGGGACTAATCATTTAATGGACTCTAACCTCTCTTTGTAAGAAGATAAAGCTCATCAAATACAATCTAAATGGGTATTTTATTACAACTGAGGGTTTTCTTTTCTTTCTTTTTTTCTTTTTAAGCGATTTCTGCCTTAGGGCATGTGTGCTCACTGGAGAGAGAGACAGCGAGCAAGACGGAAAGTGAGAAATCACTCCCCCCCTTCTTCCCCTTCCCTGGGAGGATAGCCAGCTTCAATCCCTTTTCCATTCTTCTCCTGGTATCTCGGGCATGCACGCACATATGCCCAGCATGATTTTCAAGCCACTGGGTCTGGGACTGTGACTGTGAGGGACCATGTAGGAGTCCAGCAATTTAACCTGCTGGCCCTCAACGGAGAGTTTTCTGTAAGTAACAGTAGTAGATTTTCTAATGTTTACATGTTATTTCCAAAAGGAAACTAAATTCCTTCTTAGTTCAGAAGTTCGCCTTCATTGTGAACTGGCAACCTCTTGTTGAAATAAGTTCATAGTGAGCTAAATGACCATAATTAGGAAAGAATCACCATGACGTTTTTGAACTTGAATCCAAATACCAATCAAATATCTCATACGTTGTTTGAAAAACTTTGAACATTAAAAGGATAAAGGATTTCAGATTGGTATACTTAACATTTTATTTACCTAATATACGTATATACATGTTGCAAGATACATAAAGAAGCTATAATAAAAGAGCAGTCAAGACTGCCTTGTCCGGCATTGTTGTCACTAGCCGTAAGTGGTTGTTAAACATCAGAAATGAGAATAGTCCAGGTAAACATGTGTTATAATAATAAAATACCCATTACCTTTCAAAGACTTAGTAAGAAAAGTAGACTTAAGTACCTCCTTAATGTCTTTTTATAAAATTCATTGTTGAGATAATATTTTGGATATAATGAGGTTAAAAAAAAGCTATTATTCAAGTGAATTTTACTTGCATCTTTCTAAAGTGGTTACTAGGAAGTTTAAGATTATTCTTATGTCCCACATGATAGATAGTGCTGGCCAAGACATCAAAGTGAAAGAAAAAAAAAATGAGGAGAGTTTGGGATTTGTATTCAGATACAGCTCAGCCCTTGACATTTTGGTTCAAGATGTTTTTACCCTTAAATAGAGTTATAAAAAATCTTGGAAATTAAGAGGTGGAGATAAAATGTTTAACTTTTACACAGTCATCACCTCCTCTATGAATTATAATATAATTCAATTATAATTTTCACCTGTCACTGATTGAGGCCCTGGGAGAGGATTGGGTGCCAGCCTTATCTCATTATATGGTTGTTTCATTAGTTACACTTGGAATTAACATCAATCACCTGGATTCTGCAGGCACAAGTCATGTCTTTCCTCAGCTAATCCTTCCCACTCTCCTTTTCCAGTGATGGCCCTTCGATTGTGACATTTTCATGCTGGATATTAGCTTGGTGCCCCCTCTAGTAAATTCTAACCTTATACAAGTGAGGATAATGTGCCGTTTGACTTGTATCTTCTGAAGGATCTAGCAGAATGTTCCTGGTACAAAGCAGGCCAAATGATGTGGAAGGGATATACACATAGAAGGAAAAAGCATCCGTGAATCAATGGTTTCTGAAGATGTGGGATAAGGTAGTTATACATAAAACATTCTTTTTTGGAGAAAATACCTTGACTTAAGTGAAACAGGAGTAGCTAACCTTTTAAATGCCTTCAATAGCCAAGATGTTAATGAGAATGTGAAGTTTCTGGTATACTGTGATAAGGACCAGTGGGGTCTGTGACTAAATGGAGTATACACGTCCTACTCAAAAACTTTGTGACTCAGTGATTTTAAAATACCTGGCAAATGTGTTTCAAGTGAATTGAAGGACAGTTCTTTTGCTATCTCTGAAGAGATATAATCTTCCCTAAAAAACACTTTAGGCAAAAAAAGATGGTATTGCAAGGTTTTCATGAAGGACAATCTTGGGGGATCAGTCCTTTCAATTGCACCACATCCTAGTGGTTATGGAATGTCCCCTACTACGTCTGTGCTCAGCTCACAGAGACCAAATGCAACCATGATATCTAAGTTGAAAGCAAACCTTGTCATTTATTAAGAACTATAGGCAGGGGACCAGCAGATGGCATAGTGGTTACTTCACTAGACTTCCACATGACCAACTGCAGTTCACATCTTTGACTTGATGGCTTCAAACTCATGCTGGGCACTTGTGAAGGCATGCCCAAGATCCTAGGAGGTCAATGGAGGAGAAGGGATTGCAGTGTGGCCATCCCCTGGAAGGGGGGGGGTGTTGAGTTCTTGGTTTCTGTCACTCTGTCTCTGGTGAGTGCATGTGCCCTAAAGTAAAAATATCTAATTAAAAAAAAAAAAAAAGAAAAGAAAAGAACTGTAGGCAGGCAGGCGAGAAGAAACCACTCATTAGCTACTGTCCTACCTCAGCTACTAACCTGGCTTTGTCTGGCCTAAAATTTATATTCACATACGAGAGGAGTGGCAGACATTAAGATACTGTTTTCTCTGTGCATCTTCTGTTTTATCTCCACCCTATCCTCTTCCAGGTCCTTCCAACTTACTCACTTTTTCAACTATTGAAAAAATCAGGTAAGATGAAATCTAGTTTTATGGTCTTGGAGAATAAATAAAAAGCTCTAGATACTTTTTGCCCTATCAATGACCCTGACATATATAGAGATTATTGTTAAAGCCAAAGAATAGAGTCTTATTTTGAATATGGAATTGATGATGAAATTCTACATTTCAGTTCCAGGAGAATTCAAAGGGAGACAGTTTTTCTTCTAAGAAGTCAGCTGTGATATTTTGCAGACACATTTGAAAATTCTCAACAAATAGACAGGTGAGAGTAAATTTTATGGAATTTAAAAGATAAAACTTTGAGAATTTAGGAAATCCATGAACTATTTATCAACATGCCTAAGAGGAAACTTGAATTTTGCACACTGTTCTTTGTGAACAAAATGCTAATAGATCAAAGGTGAAGAAAAAGACATGCCAAAATATTTCTTTTTCTTAAATCAGGTGCTTGTTTTCAAAACTCAACTGAAGTAGTTTTTTGTTTGTTTGTTTGTTTGTTTTTAACAATATGAGACCGTTGGAAAGTTTTCAGGATGTTTGTTCTGAACATACAATTATTTTTGCCCTGGAACATTTGTAGCCATTGAGATACATGCTGTCAGGCTGACTGACTGAAGGAATGAATTCTCCACAGTCAGGAAAATGAGAATTTTGATCAAAGACTGATATACTGTTTACAGCACTTGAGAAAGAAAAAGTTACTTTAGTAAGAGTTGTGCGCACCATTAGCTTCCTAAACATCATTTGCTGTGGCCAGCAGTGAAGGGCATATTTATTCATTAAATGGAATGTAAAAAGAAAGCTAACACATTTGATTCATAACAATGTATATGGAAAATAGCTCAATCTTAGAAGTAGAGTGCATTTCACACAGAGGACAATGTGTGATACATACAAGGGTCTTCAAAGTTAATAGAAAATACTTATTATTTAAAACTATGCATGGATTTCAACAGTTTTGCACTAAAACTTACACTTTACTCCACTTTGCACCCAATTTTTTTGAAGTCCTGTTGTATATACTGGTTGTATTCATTCTCAAGTATACGTTAGAAACAACATAAAACCAAATTAGAGAGTGAACGAAGCATAAAGAGTTGATTCGTCTGCAGGATTAGTTTATTTACTGCTTTGTATGGTATGTATATATTTAGTGACAATGAAGGCAGTGGAGCATTTTCTGAACTACTTTTCTCAGAAACTTCCAGGATGCACACTGCCCTTTGAGCACTCAGAGAAAGAAGGACATCGCATATTCCTCAGTCTGTATGAAAAGATATACCTTCCTCACATCCTTGCCTTTAATTGTGCTTAAGTGCTTTGTATTTTTGCAAAATGATGTTACCAAGCCCAGGTTCATTTGACTACCATCTAGTCTCCCGAAAATGGAGACAACAGATTTGCAAGGAAGAAAAAGACTCTAATCCAAAGAGTACTGGCAAGGAGACAAAAGAATAAAACTCAAATTCACCTCTGTGACTGAAAGGGGTTAGGGGTTT